TATATATATATATATATATATATATATATATATATATATATATATATATATAATCTAATACACTATTATTTATCGTTGTTTTAGTAATGCTTATATTTTATAAACTTATAATATAATAACGATATTGACATTGATGGATTATGTTTTTTTATTTATTAAATGGAATTTTAAATTTATGTCTTAGAAAAGGATTTTAATCAATATTTTTTTTCTTAGAAAAAAAAATAGATAAAAAACGAACCATTAACAATAATATCACATGGGACACGAGATGCACTAACCATAAAAAGAAAGACTGTGGGTAGATAAATTAAAGCAATGCAAGAATTTTGAAGGCAGAAAGCGGTAAAGTCCATAAAATGGTCACCAAATTTAATTTATATATAATAAAAAAAGTAAGAGTTATATGTTTATTATTATTATTTAATTAATTTAGTTACACCAACTATCTTTAATTATGAGGCAAACTATGCATAAAAAGCATATTGTGAGTTAGCTTCCATTTTCAAACGGTTAATGATGATTTGCCTTTACTATAATTATTCAAACAGACATAAGAAAATCTTTCTGAATACAAATAGGTTACAGGTCAAATGTTGTATCACTCGTATTAGGTTCTTAATAGCAAACATGTAACCAAAAATCCATAACATGAGATAACAAGGATAATTACGTACCTTCAAATTGAAAAATGAAAAATACACATAAATACGCATAAATAAATAATTGACATGACACAAAAGCAATCTGACATAATGATGTATTTCCAATCAAATGTCAAAGAAAAAGTAGTTGTCAAATTAAACTACCATTCTTATTTATTAAATTAACCAATAATCAAAGAACTTTTTCCTTTTTAGTAACTAAGATATAAAACGAAAACAAATTTGAAATCTAAAACTGGATACCCTGGCCTTAAGAGTTAAGATTTAGGTTTGAAGCCTTGAAGTTGAAGGCACCAGCCCAAATAAGAGGTGAATAGGCCCGTCTAACTTATTTGGGCCTGGACCCGCCCAAAATCAATTACAAAAGCTCAACCAATCAATTTTATTGGTTACACCTTTTATAATTATACAAAGCACGAGTAATGCATTTTTACAACTTTCCGCTTTATGTTTGGTAATATATTTTTTGATTTGTAAACATTGGTCACTGAGTTTTTTTTTCGTCCATATTTATCTCTTCAAGTTGTTAAAATATACACATTCAGTCGTTATGAACAGCTAGCCGGTAAAAATGACTTCATAGGGTAATATATTTTTCACTTTGTACACGGTTAGTCATTAATATTTTTTGTACATATTTAGTCCTTAATATTTGTTTTATTACAAAATAAATCATTTTTGTTTTTGTACTCATTCAGTACTTATGAATGATTTTCTTAGGTTTTCTCATGACATCTTACGTGAGACAATCATTAATTAGGTGTTTGGAGCTTTTGATGCTTATGCCCATCACGATCTCGACTACTTTGTTGTTTAGGTCATGTGTTCTGAAGGTTATAACTTCCTCATAAGATCTTGGATTTTAACGATCTTTATATCCATGCGTTCGTATTTCAGTCTACTACAACTTTCGTTTAGATTACTCCCGTTAAAAAGTAATATATTTTTATTTACGATCTTTATATCCATTCGTTTTTTATAAATGCATTTTTATAAAATCGTAAGTAAAAAATATATTACGTTTTAACAGAAGTAATCTTAATGAAAGTTGTAGTAGACTCAAAAAAAGGAACATGTGAATATAAAGATTGTTAAAAATTGATATTGTATGAAGAAGTTACGACGTTCAGAACACAAGACTTAAACCAAACCACAAGACCTACGCAACCAAACAGTCAAGATTGCGATGGACATAAGCATCAATAGCCCAAACATATCATCAATGATTGTCCTACATAATATGTCGTGAGAAAAAACTAAAGATATCATTCATAAATACTTAATGAGTACAAAAAAATGACTTATTTTGAAACAAAAAAAAATATTAAGGACTAAATGTTTATAAAATGATAAATATATTACCCTATTAGGTCATTTTTTCCGACTAACCTGAAGTAATCGGTCATAAGGACTGAATGTGTACAGTTTAACAAATCAAAGAGGTAAATATGAACGAAAAAAAACTCAAACAAATCAAAAAATATAATACCCTTAAGTCTATATCCCAATTATAGAAACAGGCTCTTAAGCCTAACTTTCATATTCCACTTTTTGTTTAATTTGAGACTTTTTTTTTTATTTTTTTTGCAATTTATGTAGTATTGACATTGAGAATTCATACGAAACAAAACAAACCAGACCTCACTAAGCACCGCAAATATCAAACTAAAATTTGTGGTTAATCAATCAATCGACCAACCTCAATAAGCACAAAAATACATGTGCGAATTTGTTACCCACAATTACGTTATCTTTACTTGGATTTAACTCTCACATACAACAAACACCCCCAACCCAACTATAGCCAACAATACTTGACTATGGTTACTACAACACCCTCTACCTCTCTCAGACATCTATGTTTAAACAATTTACACATCAAATACTAATACATATTTATATATAATATTGCCACTCAATATATCATGATTTACACAACAGCCCTTCCTGTCTGATCAATTAGCATGCCAACATGTTCTCCCGATAACGCCCTCGATATATTCCCAGGCTCATGAAGGTTAAATATCACAACTACACACAACAACAAAAAATCAAATTTTCAAAAAAAAAAAAAAAAAAAAAAAAAATCACCAAGAACAAGATTACTAATTGAATAAATAAAACACAAACCAGGAATCCCATTCTCTTCACAGAAAGTTGCAGCCATCATGTCCATTGATGACACACCTCTAGAAGCCAACTCCCTGAAGCAAATATGCTCAAATGCAACATTACCAATGGAATCACACTCATATACACCATCTCCATTTGTCCCTTTAATAAATGCATCCGCATGAACTACACAAAAAAAAAAACAACAACAAATCATTTTTTTCTTCTTAAGTAATTTTTGGTAGAATAATTAGGGGAAAATTGTGCATACTCTCAGAGGCTCTAAGAGCAGCAGCTGTGTCAGTAGAGAAGAGGGGATTCCCTGTGCCAGCACCAATCCCACCAAATATTACAACTCGCCCTTTTTCCAAATGTTTGATTGCTCTTTGTCTACTGTAAGGTTCAAAAACTTCTGGCATAGAAAAAGCAGATTGGACACGTGTCTCAACACCTAATTTCTCCAATGCTGATTGGATTAGTATCGAGTTCATCACTGTAGCCATCATACTGATAACATATGTAATCGTTATTGATCATTATCATGTAGAACTGAATAAATGTTTTGTATATTGAATAATAATGTTGGAAAACATATTAACATTACCCTATTTGATAAGCAGTGCTTCTATCCATACCAGTAGCTGTAACCCATGTGTCTCCACAAAAGAAATTTCTCCCCCCAACTACTATTGCCACCTCAATGCCAACATTGCAAGCCATTGATACTTCTTTAGCAATATGCATCGCCACCTGTACATTTCAACAAACCAGGATATATAAGATAAGACAGTTTGTACTGTGTTGGACTGAGTTAACAAGGTTTGTACCTTGGGGTCAACACTGTTGGAACCGGTTCCAGCAAGAGCAGCACCACTGATTTTGAAAACAACTCTTCTCCATCTTGAATTTGTCACTGGTTTTGGTTTTATAGTAGTGAGCTGACAACTTGGGCTAGATGTTGCTGATCCGTATCTGCAGAAA